TATTCAAGAAAATGGCGTTTAAACGTTACTGTAACTGCAAAATTTGATACTCTTTTCACAAAAAAATCTTTCAGTTTTAGAGAAACTTGAGTGAAAGTCATTTGAAGTACTTTATCTCCCACATTCAATAGTGTTTACAAATTGGTGGAAACGTGCATATTAAAAAACTTACATTTGTGTAGTTAAAAAAAGAACAAAAGAATACAGCAAAATGACTAGTATGTCAACTTAAATAGTGCAATTAGAATTATCTGTTCGAAAAGTTTGAATAAAAAAGTTAGAGCCGTTTTTTTTCAGAAAATGGCGTTTGAGCGTCTCTGAAAATACGAAATATTCAGCACGTTTTCGCAGAAAACTTTTCAGTTTTCTAGAATCTTTATACATTAAATAAAGCACATGTACCCGTAAATGCAATAAAGTAAAAACGTTTCCCCTAATGCAAATGTTAACAACGTAAAAGATGTATCAAAATATTGATTTTTGTAATTTAAAAAACAACAAAAGAATGGAGCTAGATAACGTTTATGTCATTTCATAGATTACATTTAGCACTATCCCTACTAAATGTTTTAAGAAGAAATTTGGAGCAGTTTTTGCGAATTTCTTGTTTTTTTATATTTTTTAAATTGCATATATTGGACGCAATATTGCACGAAAATTACTATAAGTTTTAAGAAAATGTACATGACCTCAATGAAATTATGGACAAGAAATTTATTTTCAAGGGAAAACTTGAGCTTTGATTTTGTGTTTTCTTTGGGGGTTTATTCGAATTGATAAGAAAACATCAATTTTGAAAAACATCGACAGAATGGTTTAGGCGTTAGCATTGACCACAGCCGGACGGAAGATCGGATGTTTAGCCGTCAATCGATTTTTCGGAATCAAGAGCCCACAAAACAGGGATTCTAGCTACGCCACGTGTTACAGGATTTTCTCTCTTTATTTAGAAACAAGATTTTTCCAATTGTTCGTCACTAGGGTTCGGATAAGTGTTTTTCTGCTGAAAATTCATTGTTTTTCGTTTACATTACATTCTCTTCTTACGAAATACCTTCGTAAGGGCGAGAAAGTAAAAAATATCCTGACAGTATAAGTATCGGACTGAAACAATATGGGAAGCACGGAACTGAAAACTGGTATACGCATGGGTTAATGGGCGTAACAAGGGCAGCGTAACAAGGCAATGCTGCCTCTGCCAAGGCGCAGCTCTAAAAGCACAATGGTAGAACGTATAACATACCCATAAAATGCTGCTGTGGTTAAGGGAATAGAAACAACTCTGTGATCAGGACTGATGACAACCGGAACTGCCAATTACCATATGTTCAAAGCGATATCCACTCGTCCAGAGTTGCAACTCTCACATATTTGTGACGCATAATTACAACTCGATGTAAATAACGTTTCAGATGACAACCAAACAAACCAAGATTTTGGAGCGGGCTAAAATTTCCGTAGTCACACAAAGAATGAGAAATTAAGGATAAATTATTAATTTATATTGAAGTGTTCATTATTTACGATTGAACTTAATGTTCATTGTGACCAGATTTATTTCCAGAACTAATGATATTATGAACAACGTAGGATAAAGTGTTAAGTAAAAATGATCCAGATAATGGCAACTTTCTAGTCTATGTAGCTTAACAATGGACATATAATCCGTAATAATTAGTTCGCTCATATGTATATCCGTTGTGAGATTAGTATTTTGTAATGTACGAATTCCGTTCAATTGCAATTTAAAAAAACAAAAGGCACAATAGGAGAGCCAAAAACTTTATATTAGAATCGTACATCAGGGATAACTTATAGTCTTTGATTATTTTTATTCTTAAACGGAAATTGAATTTGAGAAAAGCTATGAAAAAACAACGAGATTAACGAGTTATAGTCTAAATCTGACTCGTGTTACAGAAAACAATGTTCTCTGCGAGTATTAGTCAGTAATACACATCTCAAGAAATCCAGAACTCCAAAATAAACTTTTTTCCAGCTAGTATCCACGTATGTTTTAAATCAGTGTATGGTATTATGTCCGTCCGCGTTACTTCACAATCTTTTTCGTTTATCAATTCTTACTAATTATTATTCTATTGATACCAACAATCATTTTCTGCAAGTGGTTTACATAAACATTAACTTGCGATATCGTCTTCAATATTCTAAATTTAAAGGATGCAAGCGTTCCATAGTACGAACGGTTTTCATAAGCATTGTATATATATTACTTCAAAGTGAGAAACATCAATTTTAACATATTGATGTTTACACTTCTTGGTGTTCAGCTGCAGAAAATCTACGTTTTTATCAAAAACGTCCGCTGATTTCGTCGATCGCGCGACATTCTGTGAACATTCTAATTTCAAAACGCTTTGTTTCCTACAGAGGAGACATTTTTCCGTATCATACGTTTCTATATACTTCAGAATGTATCCAAACTCAACGACAACAACAAAAAGTTCAAAACACGAAACAAAATACATGATAAAGGAACTCATCTGAACAATCACTTCTCCAAAAGACAAGCATTTTTTGACGCCGCATTTATAGTTCGAACCCATATTAAGCAACAACTTCTGGCCGCAATGAACAGCCGATGCTTTTATGTCCTGAACACACCCTTAAAAACTGTTTTCCGTGTTCACGAACATAATCTTAAATTTCCTTGATTCATATCATTAAAGATTTTTTAATTAATCTGATCACGATGATCAACAATTCTTATTACGAATACATGAAAATTTAAATAAAACTAGTGGTGCTAATATAGCACATACTTTCTCACCCATAGTAATGGTTACTTAATACTATTTATAGCGCCATTTGTCTCCGAATTAACACACCTCAGTCATCGTTCTTTGTAAAACGCATTACAAATTATAGAACAGGTGCGGGCTGCTCGGTCTGTGGTCAGCGTACTCCCAAGGCCTTCCGCAACAACACACATACATGAAAGACGAGAGGCAAACAACCATGTCACGGTGGGACTCAAACAAACAACTCTTCAGACTGAGGAGCTGAGCCGGCACACGCTGTAGCCAATTCGGCCATCCAGATTCGTGACAATATTGTAACTGCGTTTCATACAGCTAAATTATCTACCACTCTATCCAACAACACAATTTAGTCGAAAACCTTTGAAGTCATTTTTTAAAATTTTGAAAATGTTTTAGGGGTTTCATGAAAAGTACTTCCTAAAATTAAAATTTCTGTTTCAAATTCCAGGAGCCGCGACCTCAACCATATAAATTGGCGAGTATCAATGTTAAGGAAAATTAGATTAACCGCTAGTGTTAACGCACAGACGGACGGGCACAGATGTTTTGCCATCATTCTATTTTTCGGACCCACAAAACATGGATTCTGGCTACACTACGTGTTATATTTTTTGTTAAATTTAGCAACTGGACTTATCCACTTTTCTGTTACCAGGGCCCGGCTATTTGAGGTTTTCTGCCGAAATTTTGCCGCTTATTCCCGCAGCATTACATACCTTTCTCTCTAATGTGTAAGCGACAGTGAGAAAGTAAGTGTAGTGCATTTGGAATAAGAAATCATTTATCTACATACGATGCAGAAGAAATTAAATGAGATTAATCTTTATTTGCATGTGGTCTAACCATCGAATATAGTGTGCGTTTTATGTAATTAAAATATTTACAAAGTCCACTCCAAGTTTCACAACAACATTAACTTCTCAAAACTCGTACTAGTATTTCGAATCCTACTTACTGATCATACAAGTATTTTCAAGACTGAAAATGTTTAAGTACGCCGTTATGTTATGAACAAAGACCCGAGTTTTAAGAACCTGCAAAACCATTAGAAATCTGTTGTCTTTTGAATCATATTCAACGCAAATATGTTTTACAACGGTGATTGAGGAAAGATTTTCTTTCAGATACTTTCTGTTCATATTTTATTTATTGGCGAATGATTGACAAAGTGTTCCAAATTTCCATTTGTATTAAATGGCCATTTTAATTTAGTTTTGAGGCATGTGCGTTAACGCTTCAATAAATTACTTGCCTATCATAAATATTTTTAGCAACAGGATACAATTAATACTAGTTTATGCAATTAGTTTATATAATGTGAAGATTTATTGCATGAGTGCATGTTTTGAAAACGAGCGATGTTAGAAGGGAGTTTTCAAACATTTACGATTGCAATAAAGCAACACAAACGAATTACATACGCTATTTTGTGTATAACAGCATAATAAATTTATAAGAGAATCAAACTTAATTTTACGAAACACGTTTCTTGTGACGTCTCGGGTATTTGACATCTGTGCGAGAAAACGTTGGTCAGCTGTTTCGTGTAAGTCTACCTCCCCGCGATTCTCTCGCTTCGATTGGCTGAATGGGTGATGTCACAATCATTTATGCTGTAAAATGCTCATGCGTCATCATTTGTGCAGTAAAATGTATGATTATGAACTATTTCTAGCATCAAAATAGGTTTATAATGATGATACACAAAAAAGGAGTAGTAAACGTTCACCTGATGAATAAAACACTAGTCAATTTGGTAATTTGATAATTAAACACAATATGCTCGAAAAAATCAGGATGATACACAATTTAACCTAAATTGACGTGCTTAAATAGCATCCAAAAGCCAAATAAAAATACAATGTACTTAGAAAACCCTCCGCGTGTTCGTCGCTCATATCCCCTAGGTTTTGAGGGGGAAAATGGAAATGGGATTGCAGAAAGTGTATTTTTGATGACATATTACATCCCTTGTAGTTATCAACTATCTGACAAGTAGTTATCTATACTTATCAGACCCTTCCTAAAAAGTTTGTTGTAGTCGTCAAATATTCCGTGCAGGTTTTGGCGCGGTGATCTGGAGCGTTGTCATGATAGAGGAACTTAGTGTCCATTCTTGAATTTGGCCGCAGATTCTTCAACGATTGAATGACTTTTGGCAGGCACTGTTCAGCGTCCCACTTAGCTGTGACTGTCTTCTGTGTCTCCAAAACAACACGCTCCACAGTTCCAAACGATTTGAAAAATACAGCTATCATTTTCTTCTTTACAGATCAAGATTTTCGGACAGTAAGGGGTGTCTCTTCATTTTCAAAAATCCAAACTTTGTTTTGAGTCTAGGCACGTCATAATAGTACACCCAAGTCTCGTCACTTGTCACGATGCTGTTTACATACCGAAATCGATCCTTAGAAAACCTTTTTAGCATCTCCCGGCACCAAGTCTCACGTCGTGTCATCTGCTCTTCAGTCAGTGTGTGCGGCACCCAGAGACAACAAAGTTTCTTTACTTGCAAATGATCATGCAGAATCGAATGAATTGCTGGTGCATTAAGGTATAAGGTATTCTCTATCCGCTTGTAGGTCACTCGTCTGTCTTCGTCAAGCATTTTCCTCACAGCAGCAATGTTTTTCTTCATAACTGATGTTCGTGGCCTGCCCGCTCTCTGAGCATCCTCCAAACTGAAATTTCCTCTTTGGAAATCTCTGAACCACCTGAATATTGTAGTATGATGTGAAAAAACATCTCCAAGTGCCAAAGTCGTTTCTTCAAAGCACTGGTTTACGTTTAAACCACGCGCGAAGTTATACCGCAAAGCTGCCCGACTCTCACTTCGAGACCACGAAGCCATTGCAAGCACTTCAAACTCCTACTATCACTGAAGAACTGAATCCGCAGAGGCGGCACAGCGGCTACTGTGCAAGTATGAACATGTCTCAGCACCCCGCGACAAGCAGCCTCCTGTGACTTACGGTTGCGTCGTGTTGCAAAACTTTTCTAGTGCCCTTTGTATACAAGAACTCAATCTTCGAAAAAAATGGTGTTCGAAAAGACCAGTTTCTTATCTCAGAAACTCTGTTTTGGCGCTAAGGCCCTTTGTAAGGAAAGGCCTTCAATTATACTACCAGAAAACTTTTAAAGTCACGTGATCGCTGTATTTACTCCGAAAGGTTATTTTCATCTCAGAAAGTGAATACACAAAGAACCTCAAAATACTCCTAAATATTTTACAAAACCTTGAAATTGTAAGGAAGCGAATGGCAGACTGATGACGCGTTACGGAGTAAAGTGTCATACCACAGAAACGCTTGTCAGATATTTAATACTCGTATTTTCGAGGTTTTTCGAGTACCTAAAAATCGGCTTAGATGGCTAAGGCATCAATTGCAGTGCCTCTGACTCGAAGGTCCTATGGTTCAAGTCCCGACAGTGGCAGGATTTTCTCTAGCCACATAGTTAAGAGTTCAACCGCTGTCTGGAAGGGAATTCTAACAATCGTCTGCTCTGATCGGTAGTTTTACTTGATTTCACCGATCAACCCCAGATGAATGCCGGAGCAGTACTCTAACAATCGGGCCATGCACCTCGCGCGATCTTTCCTTCCCCTTCCTTGTCCTATCCTTCACCGTATTTTCCCACCTACTTGCATGCACTACACTCCCCCACATGTCAGGACCTTAGAGGATGTCCCGGCAGTGGGAGACCCCTGGTTAGGGAAAACCTCGCTAGCATACCGTAGGTCAACATCGGATCTCGCCCTCTAGCGGGGAAAGATCACTGCTACCTCTCCAACATAAAAATAATTTCGGGACTTGCTGGCACTACACTTGGAACTAATCACCTTTGCAGATGACGCACCAGGAATCAATCAATCGGTCCGCTGACAGAAAAAAAATAAACACAAAGTCACGTGTGAAAAAAAAATAAACACAAAGTCACGCGTCAGTCATACGAAGAAATAATTAAACAGTATATTAAAAGTTGCATTTCCTTACTTAAACTTATTTCAAAACCCTCACTTCTCCGCAGAATGTGGGCTAAATATATATTGTACGTAATACAGCATACATTAATCCTGTTCTCAGGGCTTATTTCGAACTCATTGTCTAATGCAGGCAGGTCAAACTGCGTCCGCACGAGCTACTTTCACACCGGGAAATTGTGGTGGCTAGCACGGACAACGACACCTGACTTCGCTGATATCGCGTCAATTGCTCTGGACGCAATGCGCGAGAACTCTTAAGGTTAGTTGAGAAGGCTCCCGGCTGGTTGGGTGAAGCCGCATGACAGTGATGCCAACGTTTCGAATAGCATATCATGGTTTTCTTAGTGCACTCGTCACTTCAGCCCTAAATTAGGCCACGATACGACACTCCAGCCGTGAAGAAGACCACGAAATGGCACTCCAGACCTGAAGCAGATTACGATATGATGGTGGAAACGTCAGCATCACTGCCCTCGACGCGCCGTCACCCGGACAGCCTTCACATGATTGACCGCGGAAGCCTACGATTGCACTAGGTTACTTGAGTTCTCGGGTACAGCGTCCAGGGCCACTGGAGCGACTGTTACCTTGCCCACTACCTTGACGTACCTAATCTCATGAATCCACGAGTACAAAATTGTGGTGATCGTTGAATTGTACCTCTACATAATTAAACGGCATCTTAAAAAAAAGCGTCCAACAGCGGCTACAATTTCTTAAGATTTTCTTTTATTGCTAAACTCTCCCAAAATAAACCATATTGCGTCTCGTCTTTGCACTAAAATGCAGATTATTACTACAGTTATGCAATTTTCACTGTATTGGTCAACTAAGTTCTCAGAGATACAACAGAGCACTAAAATGGTTGAAAACCATTCGCTGCACGAAATAAAAATATTGCGTTGTAGAATATACCGCGAGAAAACGAATGAATGTACTCGAACTTTACTTTCGGAGGCTAAGTAAAAAAAACTCGAAGGAATTTCTCAAAACGTTCACACGTGATTGCTATCGACTGTCATTATGCTCATGTATGTACTAGCATCAGTCTGCTGTTTTATTTTACACTTTTCAAGTACAAATTCAAAATAATATAATATTAGAAATTTATCTATTCGTTATATCAACAGAAAATAAGAGTGACAAATATAATTTACAAGAGCACAATTAATTACAAGAGCAACATTTTAATTTATTTCGTCATTCAGAATAATTTTTAATTTCTTCCAACACATTCAGGCGGCTCAGGGAACCATCTGATGTCTCCAACACCTCTAAATGGGCAGGAATATTGAATGCAGTCGCTGTCTGGAAGAGAATTCTAGCGGCCGGCTGCTCTGATGGGCAGTTTTCCGTGGCTTCTCCAATTAACACCAGGAAAATGCCGGAGCAATACTTTTCCTTCTCCTTCTTTGTCCTATCCTCTCCCCTTACTTATCCACACTTACACTTACAAGCACTACTCCGGAGACCAGTCAGGAACTTGCAGCTGGTCTCCACTAGAGCGGTCCGCTGCTGGTGGGAAATAGTTTTTTGGGGAAAACCCGGCAAGGCTACGTCAAGGTAGAGCCGATCGCCATCACCAGCTGTGATAAAACATGCACTATACTTACAGTACAAATGACCTCAGTAACTGACGCATCAGGAAATACGAAATAGTCAATAAATCAAATTCTGAACACATTGTTTATAAAAATACAATTTTTCGTGTATTTTTCATCACCCAACAAGGTTCTGGAGACTATTACTTTTCTAACTATCAATTTTCATTTCTGTAATTTAACTACTGTCAACCAAATTTGTAATAATTGTCACCGGAGACTCAAGAGTGTTCGACATTTGAACTTGTACATTAATTAAAAACTGACGATGTTAGTAATTACGAGTTCGTAGTTGGAGCTTAAATTGCGCTCAAGAATGAAACCACCAAGAAAATTGATACTTTCTTATATCGGGCAAGCATGTGAAAAGAGCTGTTGTATTATGGCATTTGTTTCAAACACTTGTGTTTGTTCTACTTCAACTAAAGAAGGCAGTGTCTGAGAACATGTATTTACAGGTCAGAATATGACAAAAATAATTGTTCGAGACACCGAGAAAACGTGGAATGTGAACACGAACATTCAAAGGGCTGCTATCGTCTTAATAGCATTTGGAGGGAATTAGGGAATTAAGACGATTTGAAGATATGGCAGGTGCTTCTTATCACCTACGTGTGGGTAATGGAAGCAAGAGTGAATCACGTCAGTTTGGAGGTCGGCGTAAGTGGCCGTACCTTGACAGACTAGAAGAGTTTTTGTCGAGAAGTGTGTATGGATTTAGTGGTCGCTGAGAATGAACCACTGGGTGAAGGTGTTATTGTTGAGATTGATCTAAGCAAGTTTGGTGAAAAGAAGTATAATAGAAGAAAAGGAAAAATTTGATGATCAGGAAAGAGGTTTCACTCGATGCTTTCTCGTGGTTGTTGAAAACCGCGGTAAAGATGTACTTCTGCACATTATTAAGACTTACGTCAAGCCGAAATCGTTTGTGATTTCGGATTAATGAAAATTTCATGATTGTCTTAACAACGAAGATTATCGTCATTTGAACGTTAATCATTTTTGCAATTCAAGGATCCGGAAACTGGTGCGCACACCACTTCTATAGAGAGTACTTGGTGTGCGATAAAGGATGCAATACTATGCCGAAAAGTGGAAAGCCAATTCGAATCTTATTTATTTGAGGGTATGTGGGGAAAATGACTGACGTAATTGAAAACTTTTTGAAAGAAATTGTAGCAATGCATCACCGAAACAATTAAGTCAGTTTACTTTTTTTTATTTCTGTTTTGTGGTTTCGCGTAAGTAAAGATGTTAATAAAAGCGCAGATCACAACAGTACTATTTCTCTTCAAAAGAAATTATCTTAAAAGTGAAGAAGGATTATCAAACAGCGTGAACATCGGAGCGAGAGCGGAGGCGCGAACCAGGTCGCGAGAGCGAGGGCCAGAAGGCTCTCGGGAACGCAGAACGGTGGATCCGTCGGGTAGCGTCCACAGTTTAGTTTTGAGTTTTCGAGAAACGTCATTGATATGTATGTGAAAATTGAAACTGAATGGCTTATGGGCATTTGTTTAAATCAAATATCGTACTTCATACAGAGATACAACTATTAATGTCAATACTATAGGCCAGAGAGTGATTGTTCTCTTCACATTTACTGGAAGTCCCAGGTACATGCATAAACATGCGCAAGATACAGGTTAGAAAATATTGTCGACCAGATATTTTTACGACAATGTCATGCAATTCGAAGTGGTCAGAAATAACTGCAGCATTTCTTTGATAGAATGCCAAAGATAGACACGATAATATTGCATGTGTGTTTAGGCAGAATATTGTGAAATTTATTTGTATAATAAAGAGGAGTATTCACTAGTATTTCACGAAGAGAGGTATTGGATTTATACAATGAGGTTTCAGGAGAGGGGCTTAACTCGTATTCATGAACTAATATGGTTTACTGAAAAGTCTATCCTGTAGGAGAAGACAAAATTATCTTTATATTATAATACGTGCCAAGATGCCAAACAGAAATGTAGACCTTGATTAGCATGACATTTCCAGCATGCACATGGTGCATGGGCAATAAGGTTCAGATAACCCCTAATTATTTTGTATGAAAAACTGTCAATGTACAACACCATATCCTAGCGCTTTTATTTCTGACAAGAACAAATCGGTAGAGATCCTCTTTATAGAAGTCGCAGTCGTGAAGATGCCTCTCATAGTAATTACAGAAAGACTACGAAACAAATTTGGTAATTGATAACAGATCCATTGTTCCACATTCCCTTATCTTAACAAAAATGTTTAATGATCGTATACATTTTTAATTGTAAAACTCTGTGTAGGTCATTAAATATGTTTCAATATACTTTCATGACAGTACTGATC